TAGTCCAGAGGGTTTAATATTCAAATAAGAGGAATTCTAAAAAGAAAGAAGAAAAGTACATGTGAACTAACAGGAAATGAACCACCACAGAGGTAATACCCCACCCCCACCCCTTCCAGAACCAAAGGGCATGATTTTGCGGATTCCAAGGGCCCAGCAAGCACATAGCACAAAAAACAAGGAAAAGACCTCTACCCGGCACGTTATCTTCAAAACAGAAAAAAATGATCCTTAAGTCTCCCAGAAATGAGAAAAACAGAAGCACACACAAATAAAAGATCAAGAGACAGGCTGGCATCAGGCTCTGCAAGAGCAACTCTGCAAATCTAGACAGAACCCGGAGCAGCGCCTTCACACTTCCCAGATGGACTCTTCCCATTTGTCAGAATTCTGTGCCTGAGCAAACCAGAAAGGAAAGGTGAAGGATGCAGGTTTGAGGTGGAGCCTTCTGAGTGTTGTGATAATCCTTGTGGCACCATCAGACCTTTATGAGATCATATACAATTTGATCAAAGTTAATTTTTAATACTCAAGAAATAATCTTTTCACTAAGAAATGAAAATACACATGGAGTCACAAAGATGCACTTAAGATAGAAATTCAGGGCAGCCCTGGTGGCCCACCGGTTTAGCGCCGCCTTCAGCCCAGGGTGTGATCCTGGAGACCCGGGACCAAGTCCCACGTCAGGCTCCCTGCATGGAGCCTGCTTCTCCCTCTCTCTCTCTCTCTTTCTCAATCTCTCTCTCTCTCTCTCTCTCTCTGTCATGAATAAATAAAAATAAAATCTTAAAAAAAAGAAGATAGAAATTCATCAACACCACATTTCCTCTTCATAGCACAATAAAATCTGAAACTAAATTCTAGTGCATCTGGGCGACTCAGTCAGCTAAGCATCTGCCTTCCAATCGGGTCATGATCCCAGGGACCTGGGATCAAGCCCCACATTGGGCTCCCTGCTCAGCAGAGAGCCTGCTTCTCCCTCTCCCTTTGCTCCTCCCCCTGCTTGTTCTCTCTCTCTCTTTCTCTTGCTCTCAAATAAATAAATAAATAAAATATTTTTAAAAAATTTTTTAAATAAACTAAAATTTAAAATTGAATCTGATGCTCCTAAGAGCAAGGTGATCAAACATGCTCACTGGTCTTTGTGTGAAGCTGCTATGCCAGGGTGTGCAGGATAAATATTCCTAGCCCACCAGAGAGAGATTTGGAGGCACACTTCAAGCCCATAAAGACATTCATGCACCTTTGTATCACTAAAAGCACTACCAGAAATGTATCCTTAGGAAATAGTCCAAAAGAAAGACAACATGTTTCATATCAAGAATTACTGTAGAATTCCTTATAATTAAAAAAAAATGAGCAACAAATATTCAAAAATATAAGCACAATAAAAAAAATTATGGCACACCAACTTGATAGAATATTCCATGAACTATTTAAATGACTGTTGTGAGGGGATGCCTGGGCAGCTCAACAGTTGAGTGTCTGCCTTCAGCTCAGGGTGTGATCCCCCAGGTCTGGGGAAGGAGTCCTGCATCAGGCTCCCCACAGGGAGGCTGCTTCTCCCTCTGCCTATGTCGCTGCCTCTCTCTCTGCATCTCTTATGAATAAATACATTAAATATTTAAAAAATAAATAAGTGACTGAAAAATAAATGACTGCTGTGAGGCTGTCACAACAGAAATGAGTTTATGATACAACTAGTAAAGATGAAAAAATAAAGGAATAAGAAAAACTAAAAATAAATAAAGGAATAAAGTCAATTAGGATACATCCATTTAATGGAGTATTAGGCAAAGGGATCACATGTTCATGAGCATTGTGAAAAACAGCACACCATTACAAGTAAAGAAATGAAGGGAACGTGGTGCCCAGGATCTGCTGCAACTAAGGAGAGGGTGCTTCACTGTGACTCCTGGGTAAGAGGGGTCTCTGCCTAAGAATTTGACATATAAAAGGTTAAAGGAAAACTCTCCTTTCTAAGCTTTGCCAGACTACTGTTGACCTGGGATAGAAGTCTTTGTTAAAAAAACAAAAACCAACAAACATAAGGAAACAAAGCAAAACAAAAAACCCCTACTAGGTCTTCAGCTGTAAAATCTAGACTCTCAAAAAAAAAAAAAAATCTAGACTCCTTCCACCATCCACTGGCCTGAGGTCTGGAAAGAAGGGACTGAGAAGTAACAGGAATCTGTCCAGAAGGTGGCAGGGTGAGAAAGCAAGGGCACCTGGCACAAGCAGAGTAGAGCACCTAAATTCATGACTCATAGTTCCAGCATCAGGAGTGAACAGGCACTCTTTAAAATGATCAGATGGCATTAAGGAGGTCATGTGATGCGATGAGCACTGGGTGTTATACACAACTGATGAATTATTCAATACTACATCTAAACTAATGATGTACTACATGTTGGTTAATTGAATTTAAATTAATTAATTTAATTAAGAAATGTGATGCCTCTTAATTAATTAATTAATTAATCAAACAATCAGATGTTGGGGCACCTAGGTGGCTCAGTTGGTTAGGCATCCAACTGGATTTCAGCTTAGGTCACGATCTCAAGATCATGAGATCGAGCCTGCTTTGGGCTCCACAGTGGGTACGGAGCCTGCTGAAGATTCTCTCTCTCTCCTTCTGCCTCTCTCCCCAAAATAAAATAATAAAATAAAATGAAATAATATCATCAGATGCTGTCATATTCTCTTGTCCATGGGAAATGCCCCCAGAGATAACTGACCATGTATAATCCCTCCTTCTCATCACCAGATAGTTCTCCTTTGACCCCTGAAGCCTGGCTTCTGTCTACACCTCTCCTCAGAAACTACTTTTGTCACAGTCACCAAGGACCTTCATGTTGTCTGGGCCAATAGTAACTTTTTGTCCTCACTTGACTCAATCTTTCAGAAGCATTGGACCCTCTTCTTTGAAAAATGTTCCTCGTTGGCTGCCTTAATGCCACATGCTCCTGGTCTCATGTTTCAAAGGCTCTCCATCTTAGCCTCTTCAAGTGACCTCTGCTTATCTACCCAGCTTTAAGCTTGGAGCACCTCCAAGCCTGGGCTCCTCATTGTCAACCCTCTATCAGTATTTTAGCTCTATCCACATGCTAGTAGATTCCACGTGTGCATCTTCAAACAGACCTCAGTGAGACATAGATCAATCTGCAACTACCTCACTTCTTTACTTAGATGTCTCATTCAAACATCGCCCTGTAAATGTGGTCCTCCACCAAAGCGAATGTCTACACCCAACAACTAGAAGCAATCATTCATTCCATCTCCATCCCCACATTCAATCGATCAGCAAGTCTTATCAATTATTCCTCCAAAATAGGCCCTAAAATCACCTACTTCTGTGTAGTTTTATCCCACCACCCTAGTACAAGCTGCCATGACATCTCATCTGTATTACTATGATAGTTTGTACACTTGTAGTTCATTCATCCTATAGTAACCAAAATGAGTTTTCAAGAAGGAAATAAGGTTACTTCTCTGCTTAAATCCCTTACAATGTCTCCACTACACCTAAGATAGAATCCAGAGCACCACAATGGCTCATGGGATGCCCACCTGTAGCTCCCATCTCCTGTGGTACTTCCACCCCTCACTCCAGCAATGTGGGCTCATGGCAGCTCTTAGAACTTTCCATGCTCTATCCTGCCTCAGGGAATTTTCACTTGTTATTTCCTTTGCCTGAAATAGTCTTCCCTCCACCCTTTCTTCCAATCTTCAAGACACAAGTGACCTGAGTGTCCCCACCAAGAAATGTACCTTAACACCAAGGCACCATGTCTTAAATGTAATAACTAAACTAACATGACCCAATTAACAAACTCCTATACCAAATAAAACTTCCATACCAAACTCCTATGCCAAATAAAAAAGATTGAATTGCATGTAATAGCCTTTTTTAAACTGTTAACAGAGTGTGTGAAATGTGTTGCATTTAAGATGACCAAAGCCAGAAAGCTATTTCACTAAAAGGAAGTATTTTCTTCCTCATATAAAACCACTAACCAACTGTGAAATTTACATGTTACATTCAGAGAAAGAATTGGTGCTAGACCTGCATATGTTAACCTAAGCACTAAGAGGTCCCAAATGGCATTACCTGAAGAATGCCGACATATGAAAGACAGCACAGCCACATGCCTCTGAGACAAACCCATCTCTATAAGGTAGGATTTTGAGTTGTTTCTCCTACAATGAGAATTAATTTGGACTCAGTCATCACAAATCTCTTTTGAAATGAAGCTGAGTACAAACAAATTAATTAAGAAATAAATGAGTTAAACAAATGTGTACTTGTATCTCTGGAGAGTCATGTGCGAGATTCTTGGGAGAAGTAAGGATACAGTGGCTGGTGCATGGACTGAGCCAGATGGTCTCCATTAGACAAATTCACGATATTGGCTTCATTAGTATAATTCTGTGTTTAAATGACATAATTATACGTAATCAAAGATAAAACAACACCAGAAGGAAAAAAAAAATCTGTTGAGATTTATCTTGTTCTGTGTCTAGATCTTACCTTACCCCTCTCTAAAAAAAAAAAAAAGCAAACCCAACACATTTTAAACAGAAAGAATTAATATAGGGTAATATATTATTATAAAATTAACCAAGATAAGCTACATGAGAAGTTAATTCATTACAAAATAATTTCAGAAATGCAACCTGGGAACTCAAATCTTTATTTTACATTTTTATTTAGTGCATTTAAGATTATTGAATGCAATGTTTCTTAATCTTGGTATTTATAAGTAAGCAAAACTTATTACAACAAGGTGTAAACAACAAAAAAAATGAAAAGCATAGTTTTAGAACATGCTCTAGTAAAAACCTTGCATTATCTCTATGCATAAGACTTCATTAGAATAAGGAATATATGAGCATCATCTTAATTTAAAGGTCATCACTTATTAAACAGTCTTGGATGCTGATTTCTAGCTTCATTTACTCTGACTTCTATGGGGCCCCAATGGGGTGTTCAAGCTTACCTTTGAGCCAGGAGGAGGAGCCAAACCAAGAAATGAATAAATAATATTCTCTTCTTTTGCAGAGAAGAAAGAGTCAAAATCCTTGAGGAAAAGGGAAAGAATGTTTAAACCACATTGCACACCTGTGAGCCAGAATATTTACCTAAGTTGGTCTTTTTTATTAGTCATTAAGTTAGAAGCTAACACAAAAGGTTATCCCAGTTTGTTTTGTCAAAGATGACTAACCCCAAAAGTTAAGAAATCTCTAACCATGAACTTTACATTTGTTTTTAATCATTTCACTGTGGAATACAGAGCAATGAGAACAACACACACACACACACACACACACACACCTGTTCATGCTCAGGAACTGCAGACAAGACTCAGATATACAGAGTGAAAAGATTCTCCAAAAGTTTCATATCTTTATCTGGTTTCCTTATAATTTGGTCCTATGATTTGGACCCTGATCAGCTGTGACTAAAATAACACAGGATTTCTCTAATGTTATGTAATAGCTTCTATAGGACAAGACCTATCATCAGACCTTCTGATACTAGCAGCCACAGGATTATGGAGGGTTTACAGTGGCACTTGTTTTGGCAGAGTGCGAAAAACTACCAAGTAAGGTGAAACATGGTAGCTGATTAAAATCTGGAGCTCAGTAAAGCTGTATCCACCCTGCCACGAGCCTACCCAGGGGTCCATCCCTAAATCCACACTTCAGTAGTGTGGTTGTCAATAGCTCAGAAAAGTTTCATTTCATATAATTAAAACATAGGAAATATTCACCAGACTACTTCATGAATGCCAATCTTGGTCATCAAGGAGCGATCAGTTTCTTCACACACCGAGGGTGGTGTGTCTGGCCCAGCTTGACAGACAGCACTCAAACTTAGCCATGTAACTGCCCTCTACTCTTATGTGTGTTAAGAAGCTTAAAACCAAATACAAGCCACTGACATTGGGGGAAAAAATGTCATGTATTCTTGTGTGCCGATCTTATCTAAACCTTTATTTTCCTACCCGTTGCTCAGATTTGCTCAGTGGTTAATTGCATTCTTTTATGTTGAATGCATTTTTTGTAAGCTTCCCCAAATCTTAGTTGAAGAAAATAGAGCATCAAGAGCAAGTAATCCTTTGGTATTGATTCCTGGAGCGTGCACTGGCTAGATGTTGTTAACAATTACATGATAGAAGGGCGCCTGGGTGGCTCAGTCAATTGAACATCCAACTCTGGATTTCAGGTCAGGTCATGATCTCAGGGTCGTAGGATTGAGCTCCACATCAGGCCCCATACCTTGTGAGGGGTCTGCCTGAGATTCTCTCTCCCTGTGCCCTCCCCTCCACCCTGCTCATATACTTTCTCTCTCTAAAACAAATAAATAATTATCTTTTAAAAGATTACATGATAGAACACATTAGTAGAGAGTAGGTGAAATATAAGGTGAACTTATTCTATTTTTTAAAAAATTCTATAAACATCTGTAACTTCTCTGGTTGGCCAGCTTTAGAAGCTTTCAAGTCAAGAAAGGTTTTCTTATTAAATGAATTGTCTTTTGCTTCAACTTAGATCGAAATAACACCTTTTTTTTCTTTCTTTCTTTTTTTAGGTCCAAATGGCTTCTCTAATTTGACTCAGCAACAATTTGTCATTATTTTTGACTTGACACTAACAAATAGATACAGAAAATAATGAGTATAAAATGTTTTTTCAACTTCCAGTCATGTTAGTGTAGCAGATTAGATGCCCTGAAACACTATCTCAAAAAAAAAATTTTTTTAAGAAGCCAGAATAAGAAAAGTCTAGATACATTGCTGAGCTGATACAAAAGGAAAGATTATTGCCAGGTGAGACCAGGCATTCTAAGAATAAGCACATACCAAGGCTGAGTTCCTGACAAAACCAGTAAATCTTTTATGCCCACTTTGATGCCATGGAGAGTAAAGGCTGGAGTGGATAAAGCCTAGAACTCATGGTGAGGAATTTTATAAAAGGACAGCAGTGAGGGAGGGAGTAAAGGAGGCAGGCAGAAGGAGGAAAGAAAAAGCTTCCCCAGGAAAAGAATGACAATTAGACTGACTGGCTTCTTAACAGCAACAAAGAAGTTGGAAGAAAGTGAAATAATAATTTCAATGTCTTTAGAAAAAACAATTATCAATCCAGAATTTTAGACTCAGTGAAACTATTTTTTTCAGTGAAACTATTTTTGGACATGAGGATAGAATAGACAGTTTCTCTGTTCAAAAAAAATATTTTTGAACAAAAATTTGGAGAATTTATCACCAATAAACACTCACTTAAAGAAACTTTTATAGGCTATATTAGACCAAAGGAAAGTGATTCCAGATGTATTATCTACAATGCAAGAAGAAATAATGAGCAAATATGTTAATAAATATGTGCATAAATCTAAACTGAAACAAGTATTGACTATAAAAACAATAATTAGAAGTGTCTAATTTATGTGGTGCAATGACGGCCAACAAACAAAAGTACTAAAAAATCAAAACATGTGTAAATAATGGAATATTACTCAGACATTAGAAACGACAAATACCCACCATTTGCTTCAACGTGGATGGAACTGGAGGGTATTATGCTGAGTGAAGTAAGTCAATCGGAGAAGGACAAACATATGTTCTCATTCAATATAAATAATAGTGAAAGGGAATATAAGGGAAGGGAGAAGAAATGTGTGGGAAATATCAGAAAGGGAGACAGAACATAAAGACTCCTAACTCTGGGAAACGAACTAGGGGTGGTGGAAGGGGAGGAGGGTAGGGGGTGGGGGGAATGGGTGACAGGCACTGAGGGGGGCACTTGACGGGATGAGCACTGGGTGTTATTCTGTATGTTGGCAAATTGAACACCAATAAAAATTAATTTATTAAAAAAAAACGTGTAAATAGGCAAGTGGTGATTAAAGTATGAAGGCTCTTTTAATGTTTGGCACACACACGGTTGTACATGTTGTTATTGCTCTTTAAGTTCTGTATTTTTATCACATGACACATTTCATACTACATTTTTAATGATGTGAAATAGCTTGTCCAGTAACCTCTGTGTGCGGGGAGTGCCCTGCTCCCTACCCCCACCAACTGGGCTTGCATCCTGCCTCCTTTGCAACCTTGAGGATACTTTCCTGTGCTCAATGGCCAAGGTCCCCTTTGGTTGTGTTCAGGCCCAGGCAGGCACCCAGCCCTTACCTGGGCTAAAATGCATAGAGTCCAACTTGGAATTGACAGACATGTCTGCTACTTCCAGTTAGCATTCCTCTGCCAGGCGGGTAACCTGGCCTCCACTGCATCTGGCTTCCCATCGGGTGTCTCTTTTCTCTAGCTAACAGTTGTCTGCCACACCCTGGGATAATATCTTCATCTGTTCTGCACAGAGCAGCAGGAGTTCACACTGGCAGAGACGATGGTACTCAGAACTATCCTTGACATCCAGTCCTCTTACTGCCCTAGTGTAAAAAGTCCACTGCTTGTCCTTGATGTTCCCTCTACCTACCACCATCATCAGGTGTGGCATATGGGTGACCATTCAAGATGAGACTAGTGATTCAATATAAATAATAATTATTCTTACAGTAACATTTCAATCTCGTGGAAAGACACACTGACTGGCCATCCAGATTTATACCATTTTAAGCCTGACATAGCCTTGGGAACCTTTGAGTCTCCGTTTAAAATCTGAAGCTACAATACAAATGACTATTTTTAACTACTTTCTTGGAACAAAGCCCTCTGTCTCATTAATCCCCTTTTGCTAAGAGTGTCCACAGACTGCAGAAAAGCAAATTTAGCCAAGTTGCTCATAAGATAAACTACTAATACCTCTCTGAAGGCAGAATTGAAAAGAATTAATAATAACAGTTAAACATAAAATGATTTATAGGCTCAGGGCACCTGGGTAGCTCACTCAATTAAGCATCTTGATTTTGGCTTAGGTCATGATCTCAGGGTCCTGGAATCAAACACTGCATCAGGCTCTGACCTCAGCAGGGAGTCTGTTTGAATCTCTCTCTCTCTTCTCTCCCTCTGCCCCTCCTCCTGGTGGTACATGCATTACACTCTCTCTCTCAATAAATTAAAAAAAATTTTAAATAATAATAATAATTTTCAGGTTCCTTTCATTAAATCCATATTATATAACATAAAATATTATACACATATACATATGTATAAAATATTATATAAAATATTACAAAATAATATTCAAATATTCTATTATAATATGTACTGAAATATTACAAATACATATTCAAATATTACAATATAATCTTTTTTTAAAAGTAGAAGTTTTTTCCCTAGGAAAGAGGAAACTTCGTTTTCTTTCACAACTAAATGAAAAAAATCATAGATCAAAATAGGATAAGAAATGCCCTCAAGTTGACGGGATGAGCACTGGGTGTTATTCTGTATGTTGGTAAATTGAACACCAATAAAAATTAATTTATAAAAAAAAACAATAATATTGCAAAAAAAAAAAAAAGAAATGCCCTCAAGGTTTTCTTTTCATAGCAAAAATCAATTGCAGAACTTTTACCCTAAGAGTTAACATAGATTGAAAGCTACATAGTTCAATATTTTCTCTACTATAACTAACCTTAATTTAAAAGGATGGTTAAGGAATCCCTAGTTGGCTCAGTGGTTGAGTGCCTGCCTTCAGCCCAGGGTGTGATCCTGGAGTCCCGGGATCGAGTCCCACACTGGGCTCCCTGCATGGACCCTGCTTCTCCCTCTGCCCCTCTCTATGTCTCTCATGAATACATAAATCAAATCTTTAAAAAATAAAACAAAAAATAATAGGATGGTTCAAATAAACAAAAGTAAGAGATTTAAAATACTACTTTCACTGGAAAAGTACTAGAAGAAAAAATGAAATTATTCTTTTGATAATTTTAGAGTGCAGAAAGCTTTTATAAACAAGACTCAGGATCAGGAACCATAAAGAAAAAAATAGATGAATTTGTCTTCATAAAAAATGTTTAAGTTCTGCATTCCAAAATATATCACTTTAAAAAGTCAAAAGATAAAAAATATGGGGAAAAAATTGCAACATCTATGGTAGTAAAAGGGCTACTTTCCTTCACAAATGAAGGCTTTTACAAACCAATAAATATTATCTGTAACCCAACAGAAAAATAGCAAGTCATGGGGGGAAAAAGATAGCTTATAAACATGGGAAAAGGGCAGCCTGGGGGGCTCAGCAGTTTAGCACGACCTTCAGCCCAGGGCCTGATCCTGGAGACCCGGGATCAAGTCCCAAGTGGGGCTCCCTGCATGGAGCCTGCTTCTCCCTCTACCTGTGTCTCTGCCTCTCTCTCTCTCTCTCTCTCTCTCGTTAATAAATAAATAAAACCTTCAAAAAATAGGAAAAAATGTTCAGCCTCTTTCACATAGATAGAAATCCAAGTCAAAGCAGTGAGAATATATTTTTCATCCGATAAATTGGCAAAGATCCAAAGGTTTGTATAAAGAATGTTGTCAAAGTCACAGGGAGTTCAACTAGCCACTCGCAGATTAGGTTGGTGGAAAGAAAAGTTGGCACAAGTGCAATACAAGGCCATGTGCCAATATCTTCTGAAATGAAAAGTGCGTACATGCTTCAACTCAGCACATCTTCCAGGAATTTATCCTACATACATATATTCATTCTGAATACAAGGATCTGTGTGTATAAAGAGATTTCTTGCAGCATTGTTTGTATGCTGTTTCCTGAATGTTCCCCACTAGAGGACTGTTTTGATAAATATGTCACATATGACGCAGCATTTTGCAGCTATTAAAATAAGGAACGTGCAGTTATACAATGATCTCGGAGATGTGGTTATTAGCTAACAAAAATCAAATGTGCTTAGCACACTCACATTTTCAGGTGATATACTATAAATTTATATAATGTATACTATATTATGGATACACAGAAAATTTCTGAAGGTCAAACAAGAAATTGCCAACATTAGTCAAAGCAGGACTGACTACATAATTTGTGATGTCCCCATGCAAAAATGAAACATGGGGTCCCTTTTTCAAAAACCATGGTGGATTTCAAGACAGCAGGGCATTGGACCAAGCAGAGAGCTCTCTTAAGCATGGGGTCGGCAGGATTTCCCCAATCACACAGTTCCAATGAAGCCAGTCCTCTCAGGGAAAGGAACTAGAGTCACAGGAGTCTTACATGGGAGGGAGAGTAATTTTTACTGGAGACAATTTTTGAATCAAAGGGATTCCATTTTGAACAATTTTTGCAAATTGAATGTGCAATTTTCAGTGTGCACATATAAGGACTGAGCTAAGCCTCTGAAGAATGTTAAAACACCTATGTATATCTATACAGCCCTGTACTGGGTTGAATAATATTCCCCCCAAATCCATGTCCACCCAGAATGTCAGAAAGCAAACTTATTTGGAAATAGGATAGTTATAGATGTAATTAGTTACAATTAGGTCACACTGGAATGGGGTGAGCCCTATTCCAATGACTATTGTCCTTTAAGAAGGCCAAGTGAAACCAGAGAGAGAGAGAGACAAAGAGAACACAAGGAGAGATAGAGATTGAGGTGGAAGAGATAGATCTGCAAGCCAGGGAACACCAAAAGTTGTTGGCAATCACCAGAAGCTAAGAAAAAGGCATGGAACAGATTTTCCCTCATAGCCTCCAGAAGAAACCAACCCCACTGACATCCTACTTTCAGACTTCTGGCCTTCAGAACTGTGCAAGAGTACATTTCTGTTATTTTAAGGCACTGAATTAGTCAACTTGGGTCACATAACAAAATGCCATGGACTGGGGGTAGGGGGTAACTGAAACAACAGAAATGTATCATCTCACAGCTCTGGAGGCTGAAGGTCCAAGACCAGGGTGCCAGTACAGTTGGATTCTGGCAAGGACAGACAGCTGCCTTCTGGCGGTGTGCTCACAAGGTGGAGAGATCTCTCTCTCTCTTTCTCTCTCTCTCTCTCTCTCTTTTTTCCTCCTCATTTAAGAGCACTTATCCCATCACAAAGGCCCCATAGTCATAACCTCATCTAAGCTGATCACTTCCCAAAGGCCTTATCTCTAAACATCATCACCTTTCAACATATGAATTTGGGAGGAGGGGGGACACAAACATATAGCCCATAACAGCCACCATGTTTGTGATGCTTCATTAGTTACATCAGTCCTACAAAACTGATACAAACCTCCAATAACCAAACACTCTGTGCTTCAAATCAGAGGCAGGCCCAAAAGCTTTTCAGTAAATGGGCAGATAGAAAATACTTTTGGCTTTGGAGGTCATATGGTCTCTGTTGCAACTACTCAGCTCTGCCATTGTGCAAAATCAGCCACAGGTGATAGGTGAATGAATTCATGTGGATGTGTTCCAGTAAAATTTTACTTACTAAAACAGGTAGCTACAGGCATTGGCCTTTAGGCTTTAATTGAACTATACCTGCTTTAGATGAGAAACATAATAATAAAGAGGAGCTAACCTAAAAACAAAACAAAACAAAGCAAAACAAAACAAAAACAGCAGTTGTGCTGATTACTGCATCTTAAAGATGACCTAGAAGGCTTAGATGACCCCTAAGATAACCTCCCGTTCTTGTGCTCTGAAGTCCTTTGAGTTTTTGAATGTTTCTTTTCAATAATCTGATTTACTAACCAGGATTGTAAACTCTAGGGGAAAAAGTGATTTTCAGGTTAAATGAACTATTAAATGTATGAAGTAAATTGCTGCTGTAGTCAAAATGTCCAGAACAGTTTTTAAAGTATCTAGATACATTTACACAAATTTATCTTATAACTCTATTAAGATTTTACTTCTGTAAATCATTCTTTATAAAAGTGAAAGGCTACCCTGTGTCTGCCTGGGTTCATGGATGTGTACATCATAAGGCTGATCAGAATTCTCTTCCAGCTAAAAGTATACTTTGTTTGAACAAGTGACCTCAACTCTTCAAAATGAAATAAGGGAATTAAAATAATCCTAAGAATTTCCAAATCACCATTTTATTGTTTCTATCCTTTTGTAAATTTTTATATTGATGACTCATGGTGGATCTACCATCCAGGTATTGGTATAATAGATCATGTCCTGAAAACTATGAACAAGTTCAAATGCTGCCTCCCAATTAACCTGATTTTCTTAGATTTATTTCTTCTTTTTAGAGAGAGAGAGAGAGAGAGAATGAGGGGTAGGGAGAGAATCTCAAGTAGACTCCCTACTCAGTGTGGAGCTAAATACAGGGCTGGATCTCATGACTCTGAGATCACTGCCTGAGCTGAAATCAAGAGTCAGATGCTCAATAGACTGAGCCACCCAGGTGCCCCCAAATTAATCTGCTTTAAACAATTTCTGATAAACACACATGCAGAAGAATTTTCCAAGAAACTGAGTACTCACCCCACAATACTGCTCTTCATTGAAGATCTGGGGGGGCAAAGGGATTCCATTTTGAGGTTTTTTCTCTCCAGGGACATTCTCTCTCATCCACTTCCTATTGTCTTCATCTCCAGCAATGTCTAATTCCTTAAAGTCGATCTTATTAGCTTCCAAAAAGCCCACTACTTCTTGCTGTTTCTTCCTAATCTGATCAAGAATAGAAAAAGGTTATTATTAAACTAGGTTTATTTTTTTAATGTTTTACTTATATTTATATAAATTAAATCCTTTCTCCAACTATACTATATAACAAAAATAATCTTGCTATTATTTAAACAAGGAAAGTGATGAAGTCACACCTCTTCATTATAAAGACTCAACGGACTGATTGTTGAAATTCTAAAATTTTAATTCCACCAATGTTTCAATCATGATATAATCAACCTAATAAGAATAGAGATGCCCTCATCATAGCTTTTACTTGAGGTCTTTGACATGCTTTTAAATTCTTTTTTCCTTTTAAGATTTTTATTTACTTATTCGAGAGAGAGAGGCAGAGACACAGGCAGAGGGAGAAGCAGGCTCCATGTAGGGAGCCTGATGTGGGACTCAATCCCAGGACTCAGGATAATGCCCTGGGCTGAAGGCAGGGGCTTAACCATTGAGCCACCCAGGGATCTCCTCTCCTAAGCTTTAATGCCAAAAAATAAATAAGGATTGGTTATGAAGAAAAGGAGGGATTGGAAGAATAGCAAGAAGGAAAGGGAGAAAAGACAATTCACTACAAAACTTAAATACCAAGTACATCCAACTAGAAAGAACTTCACGCACAGTTATGAAAATGGGCACATTGAACAAAAGTGGCTTTAGAAATAATCTAAGAGATTGGAAAGCCCACTTAAAATGAGTGAAAGGGGAAAGGACAGAGGAAAATCCAGAAAAAAGCCAGTGGCTGTGTCTCCCAGCTCACAAAAAAAAAAAAAAAAAAAAAGTTCTCCCTTGGATTTCTCCTTTCCACCTGAGAGACAACTCTTTGTGTCCATCTCCATACTTGAGGCTCTTGTCTACCAGCCACCATTGCTCAGGAAAGTGGCCCTCTTCATGGCTCAGACCTCTGTCCCCAGAGACAGTTACAACCATTTTCTTGTTTCAAAGAATCCACTTCCAGAATGCACAATGCCTTTTTTCATACACCCTAGTAAACAACTTGGAGCACACTCTGTGGACTCCACTAGGAGCCTCTGGGAGAGAGGTCCAGAGTGGTCAACCCAACAGTCAATCAACACTTATTTATCCACTCTACTCTGCACAAAACAGTATACCAAATTCTTCATGTGGAAAAAAAAAATGTGAAGAACTCTCTTTAAAAAGGGGAGGAGGTGCCTGGGTGGCTCAGTCAACTGGGCATCTGCCTTCAGCTCAGGTCACAATCTCAGGGTCCTGAGATAGAGCCCCACATCCCGCTCCCCGCTCCCTGCCCAGCGGGGAGTCTGCTTCTCCCTCTGCCCCTCCCCACTGCTCTCCTGCTTATTCTCTCTCTCTCTCTCTCTCTGTCAAATAAATTAAATCTTAGAAAAATTTAAAAATTTTTAAAATTCAAAGAACTCATTTGTACATTCTAGACTGAACATGCTGAAAATAATCAAGAGGCAAAAGAAGCCATTGCTTAAAAATAAGAGTAAAATTTTAAGTATTTTCTTTGACATAAAAATATTGAATATCTTAACTTGTTAACTCCTCTGCATACAGTGTTTTCTCATATCAAAACAAGTCACTAAAAATGCTTATAACAGAGCATGAGGCCCCCTGTCATTCTCTTGTAACTCATTTATCAGCAGAGGTACCAGAATTTGAGAATACCAAACAAATGTTATAAAAGGCCTGTCCCAAACCTAAAGCCTAGCCTCAAACCCTCTTCAGATCAAAACCAATTCCTTTTGTAGATTTGTATACCAAATACATATATTTTTTATTCATTTTTACCAAAATTAAGGAGTTTATCAGTGATTCATGTGTAGAGTATTTCCTTCTTAATATAAGGAAAAATAAAGCACACATGGATGCTTAAGCTCTGGAAGCAAATCACCACCCAGACCAAACTCTATATAACTTGGTTTGGGTGGTGACCCAATTGTATATATTATATTAATTATAAATGAATTTAAATAACTTTCTAATTTTCTACAAGTAAATATAAATTGCATATAAAAGTGAATATATGTTATGTACCCACGTATGTATTAATGGTAATCACACATTTACTTTTTAATTAACATTTGCTCCATCAACATAACAAAGATAATTCGACTAAAAGCATTAGATGAATAAATTGAAGGCTGCTGTTAGCTACAATACAACACCTAATCAGCAAGATTCAGTTTGGGGCAAGCATGTACAAAAATAAAAATGAAAGTCATACAGATAGGTGTGGGGTGACGGAATTTCCCTTAAGCTTCTGGCACAAGCACTCTGGCACATTCCTGAGTGTCACATATATCAGAAGCAAAGGAGGAGCTCAGATTTCTCCACCATGTGTCCTCCCCTAAATCTAGGCTGGCATACCTTCTGCTTTTCCCCACCAAAACTGTGCTCCAAATTCCATAGCTTCACAGCTAAATTTCTGAATATTACAAAATCCCATCAGACCTGATGACAGGTTGTTGGAATTAAATTACTATTTTAATTAATCATGTTTTCTATACCTACTTTCCAACTTGTCCACAATTATCCATGCCACTCTATAAACTACTTTTTCCTTTGGCTATTTCCAGAGATAACTTTGCTGTTTGAAGAGTAGAGATGTCTTTGTTTTAGGCAGGTTTACTTTTGATTAAAGTAACATCTTTTATTCTTTAATTCTTTGATTAAAAGTAACATCTTTTATTCTTTTCAAAACCCCTGTCTTCCTTCCTTCTCAGGTACCCTCCCAGGAACCCAAATCAGCCTGGCTGAGGTCCACTGCCACCTCACCAATGTTATTTCCATCTCTATTAATCATGCCTCAGGACTTGAGGTTAAATAAAAGGGTTTCATTTTATTCCAAGATTTCTGAGCAGATGAAAAACAGTTCCCAAAATCCTGACTTGTGTTTCTTTGGTTAGAAAATCAAAGAGAGATAGAGAAAATGGGATGGGAAGATCTGTCTGCTGTTATTTCTTGCAAGACAAGCAATTGCATCTGCAAGAACTTAATGGAATGTTAGGTGCATGATCTTGTGTTAAGTGCTATTTCTCAGCCTCTCGCTCAAAAGAGAGAGAGAAGAAAAATTTGTCCCTCTATCCTCCCCAAACATCAGTACTTTAAACTGGCACCAGTACTTTAAATGCATCATTCATCTGGTTGTCTGGAGCACCCGAGTTCTGCCTGGGGCTGGAGAAGGGTCTTAGGATGAGCCCAGAGAAGGGGAGAGGGGAGCAGGGAGTACATGAGTTCACCTGGTGGCATGGATGCCTCTGCCTACACTCTGATGGCCACCTTGAGTGTGGCCCTTTCTCCCACAGTCCTCCCTCCTATTCAAGGAGCTCCACAGACCTTCACATGTAAAGTGCAGCTCTTCTCCATGTGGCCTCCTCAGCTGACCACCAGAGACATCAGCTCCCAGAGGGCATCTCCCTCTATAGCCCCTGGGAGAGGAGCATGCACAGCACCCAGTGGTTCTCACCACAGACACCCTCTCAGCCCACATCCTACCCCTTCTCCTCTTTCTACAGCACCATGGCATTGCTGGCTCCCCAGGCTATACCTTCTTTCTAGGCAGCCCCTCTAGAGGATCTGGGCGTCCCTGGGGTCTGGGTCATTTGGAGCCTTTGGGACTTCAGCAGAGGCTCAGAGAGCTCTGTTTTCCTATCTTGTTATATTTACTTTTAAGAAAGTCTTGTTTTCCTGAAGTCACCAGCCACTCTTGATTACTGGAATGTATCAGAGTGATCTTTGAGTCACTTGCTTGGCATCTCCTTTTTTTTTTTTTTTTTTTTTGTCTTATACAGTTAGGTTCCTGCACTTAGTGAAAAACTGCATTTGAGCAGAGGTGACCTGCATTTCCCGCCCTGGCTCAGAAGGCTGCTGTCTGAGCAGCGATCCACTCTTGAATTGCCTCATCTGCCAAACTGGTAAAGCGTCACCCTCCTCAGATTCTGGTGAGAACCAAGGAACATGACATGTGGAAGAGCGTTTTGGACGAGGTGAGAACCTCTGACTCATCCTGGTTCCCAAGCCAGGTTAAGTACTCTGATCATCATTTTAAAATAACAAAGCTAAGGCACCATTAAACTAAGGAATTTTCCAAGATCTACACCCAGATCCATCTTGTTCAAGACGGAGTTTTTGCTCAAGGGCTGAGGCTTTGCCCGCTATATTTACACTCAAGCAAGGCTGAAAAAAACTGATTGAGAAACCCAGGAGCCACCATCAGGATCTGTCCTTGAAGATCATGGTTCCAGGGGCTGTGCATCTTGAAGAGAGTGAGGACTGTCCTCTCTCCCTTGGTTCCCCAGCCTACTGTAGCACAGGCCTTTGGGACAACACAGACCTGCTCCCACTCCCAAGGTCTCTTCACCATGTTCCTCCGTAAAGCAGTAAAACATGTGACAGCGCCTTATCATCAACTGTTTAGAGATGTGACACACAGCTGCATATGTGTAAGCCCTCATAAAGAGGTGTTTCCTTTTCATTTATTTAATTCATCCCATAGAAGTCATATGCCCTGGCTAATTAAGTTGCAGGCAAGAATCCATTTTTAAAGTAAGGAGACTGAAGAAACAAGCAGTAAAGCGTTTGCAGACTGACCACCCCACACACTGGCAGGTGCCCTGGGGTTCTGCAAAGAAGCTTCTGGGTGAAGTCTCCCCACTCAGGAAAAATCATTAGCACTTATAATATGGGAATAATCAGTTTTCATTCTTTAGGATAATACAGAAATTATTCCACTTATGTGGCTTGGGACAATTCTTCTGAAACATAATCCAGACTCACATATACTAATATTAACTAATAATTAGAACAACTACATAATACTGATTAACATTAACTAACATTAGCTAATAATTATAATACCTAATAGTTATAATAATCATAATATTAAGTAGCCATATGTAATAATTATAAAATTAATGAATAATTATAATATGTATTAAGCACTGATTGAGCACTTGACACTATGTAAGGTACTCCGTGCTTATTTCCTAAATCCTCAAGAGGATTTAGGAATA